CGCTGGGGCGGGGGGAGCCTCGGGCCACCTGTGACCCTCTCCCACTGCAGGCAGGTGGTGGCCCCATCTGTGCACACGTGTTCACTTCCTGGGTGCACTGCAGGGCCCACAGCCCCCACACACCTGCCTGCTGGGCTCCATGGTGCCTTCCTCAAGGACTTCCGGGGACCCCTGACCCCTCCTGTCGTTCCCTGGGCACTTCCCCAAGAGCTTTGTGCCCTCACACTCCACGCACTCGTGACACCTGTGCCGACTGGGCCTCGGGTGTCGCCTGAACCCCAGGTGTCCTCCCCAGCACCACCGAGGCCAGAGGCCCCGGCCGCTGTGAGGAGTGCCCAGTGAGGCACCGGCCATGGAGCACTTGGCCCCTGTGCAGCCGCCGGCCAGATGTGGGCTCCAGGCAGTGGCCACGGGGACACCACTGAAACGCACAGCTCTGCTGCCCCCACGTCCCTCCTCCGCTCAAACCCAGGGAGCAGTCCCAGGGGCCCAGTGAGGGGACAGAGGGCAGGAGGGGCTTGCAGAGGAGGCTGAGTGTGACATGAACAAGTGTGTGAGGACGACAGGGACAGAGGCTCCGCCCGGCACAGGCAGCGGCCGCCCCCGGTCATGAGCACCCCGCCCGCACAGCCCGCGGGCCTCACGTGTCTCTTGAAGGACTTGCGGATGTGCCCGTGTGCGGTCCTCTGGAGCACGGCGTACTGGCGCACGCAGTAGGTGTGTTCTCGGGGCCTGATGACGCTGGCCACCACCTCCTCCAGCCTGTCCTGAGGGAGGGCGTCGTACGCTCCTGTCATATCCACCTGTGGGGACTGAGGCCACTTACATGCTGCTCAAGCACTCGCCACGGCCCCCACGTCCCAGGTCCCACCGGGCTGACCTGCCCTTGGCAAACCCTGCAATGACTTGGTTACGCCAGAGCCAGAGACCCCGAACCTGGCCCACGGCCCCACATCAGCCACAATGCCCGCCATGGGCTCTCACGGAGAGGGCCCCCTATCCCCCCAGACTGTGACACCCCAGGGCGGCCTGGATCCCTCTCTACAGCAGTGTCTCCCAGACTGTGACACCCCGGGGTGGCTAGGTCCCTCTCTCGGGCACCGGGCTATGTGAGCCGTGCGTGTGGCCGTGTCATATCAGCCCCATGGAGCTGGGCTGCAGGGACCTGAGTCCACACCAGCCGTGGAGGTCTGAAGTTTCTGCCGCAGGGCCGAGCACCCCAGGTGGAGACGAGGTCGCCCCCCTCCTTGCTCCCAGGCAGACGGCCCGAGGGCCAGCTGCACCCCACACTGCTGCACCCCACTCCGGGCCAGGGCCCCTGTGGTGGGGTCTCCCAAGGGCTGGCAGCGCCCTCGGGCTCTGGGGCGGGGGGCCCACCTTGACGAAGTAGAGTGGGGGTGCCGGGCTCTGGGCCCGCACACGCAGCGCAAAGGCGCGCCAGGCCCGGTGGACATCGTCCATGCCCATGACCGAGGCGCCCAGGAGGCCCGGCCGCCGCGTGCGCTCGTAGTTGAGGGCGCCAAACAGCGTCTTGACCTGTGAGGTGAGGCGCTGCATCTGGAAGACAGCCGGGGCGCGGCAGCGTCACAGGGGGTCCCCCGCCAGGGGCCCGGGGCGCCGCAGCG